ATAGTATACCCGCCGACTTCGTCGCGGGGGATACAATAATGAAATAATGATTTTCTAGGTGCAACAGCAGAGATACAGTCGCGTGCATAAGTGGTAATATGTCACAGTGAGCTATACACTGTGATGAGTTATATGCCATGGCAGAAACCCAAACACACGTATGGACACACAATCATGGACGATGCACACAGGAACGGACACACGCTCGCGTGCACACACACAGCGCACGCACGCACGCGCAACACACACACACACACACACATGCGCACACACACACACACATGCGCACGCACGCACACACGCACGCACATACGCACGCACGCACACACACACAAACAAACACACATACACACATACATACCTGGATGAGGTTGGCGGGCAGCCAGCCGGAGCGGTATCCGTCGTAGAAGGCCAGCGCGGTGCTGAAGCAGGGCGTGGGCAGGCCGAGCCTCGCCGCCTCGCTGACAACGATGCGCCACGACGCCTGACAGTTGTGGATCGCGTTGCGGAAGAACTCGTCCAGCAGCAGGTTGCTGAGGTCCGGTGTCTTCTCATACGCCGCCTTGATGTTACCGAGGAACTTACTGCGAGGAGACATGAACACGACAGATCAGACCCGTGTAACAAAGAGCATGTCGAGTACGTCTAAGTATACGTAGACCATTCTTATCGTGATATATCATATATATGATATCATATATCATATCGTATCGTGAGTTGAACCTCACGAGTGGTAGAATAGTAGCACAATAGCAACAGATCAATGGCAGACTTCACAAGTCATTAGTGATAGCATATCAGCAACATAGCAGCACGTCAATGACAGGGAAAGCTGTCAAGCTGCTATACCCTGCTTCATGAATACAAGATACAGGCATATGAATATCGGATACTCGAGTTCTTATAAAATATAAGCCAACACACTGTATTATTTCATACCAGAGAAGAGAAGTTGATGTGTGAACACTATGCTCACAGCTAAGATAGAACAGGCAAGAGCTATAGCAATAGCCGTGTAGCAGTTACAGGAATAACAGAATAGCAGCTACATCAATAATATGGTAGGAAATACAGCATCAGCAGAGTAGCATATACAGCAATAGCAGGATAGCATATACAGCAATAGCAGGGTAGCAGTTACAGGAATAATATGGTAGGAACTACAGCAATAGCAGAGTAGCATATATACAGCAATAGCAGGGTAGCAGCTATAGCAATAGCAGGGTAGCACATATACAGCAATAGCAGGGTAGAAACTACAGCAATAGCAGGATATGAACCACAGCTATAGCAGGATAGGAACTATATCAATAGCAGTGTAGCAGCTACAGCAATAGCAGGATATGAACCACAGCTATTGGCTATAGCAGGGTAGCAGCTACATAAATAGCAGTGTAGCAGCTACAGCAATAGCATAGTAAGGGCTACGTCAATAGCAGAGTAAGAGCTAGAAGACTACAGTGATAGGACGGACTGAGTAAGGTTGCTTTACCTCCTGATGATACAGCCTCCTCGCCACATGAGTGCGATGCCACCGTAGTTCAGATGCCAGCCAAACTCGTCAGCAGCCGAGCGCATTAGCATGAAGCCCTGGGCGTACGAGATGATCTTCGATGCGTAGAGAGCCTGCGTAGAAGGAAGCAAGCAGCTGTAACACACAAGCTGTTTCTGTGAAGCCTTCGCGCGCAAGACGGTTGAACAACATAACGGCAAACAAAAGGGAAACTTAAAAGTATTTGGAACTATTGACTAATATAGATTATTAAAGGCTAAGAAATAAAGACCTAAGACTAGGGATATTAGATGTAAATATAACACAACATACTCACACGTTTGTGCAATATACATGCAGCATTAAATCTATATTATACCAAACCCAAGGTAGGAGTAACCCACTGACTGTATGCAACTGAACAAATGTTATAGAAACAAATGTTATAGAAACAAACGTCCTCTTGTGCACAGTTGAACATCTATACAAACATTAACACACTTCTGCCAGGAATGGACGAGTAACCAAGTGATTGAAAAGTTTTTGCATACAATCACAAAATGTCTCGCATTTGCCTACCATTCGGATGTGCTCCACAAATGCCTTCTTGTCACCAGTAAACTTTGCATCAGGTCCCTTCAGTGATTTGCTGGCTTCAACCCTAGCATCCTTCAGCGACGACAGACACCTTGCAAACACAGACTCACCTGGAGATAAGAGGAGAGCACGCGATAACATACCTACCTACTCAGTAATGTGATCAGCCACGCTTCCGTGTTTCCAAAAGTATTCAATATATATGTCAGACAAACAGAAGAATGATGATTTACAGGTCTTCTTATAAGTGTCGAGGACACTCGACTATTTTTAGTGTCCTGTAACTGCCATCATGCTAAAGCATTGTAAAACTTGTGGTAAAATCAAACAAACAGGTCGAAAAAAAGGTCAATGACACTGTTGTTCACCTTGGGTGTGATAGAAGAGGGAGGGGGGGATATGTAAAGCAAGAGTATATATGGGAGAACTCCAATTATATAGCATATCTCCCATTATATACTCTTGATAATGATATATGCATAAGTTTTGATGCGAAAATAAATGTTTCAGATCTGAAAGTCTGAAATCTTTACGAGAGGTGGCGCTACGCCTAAATGATGGCCATTTTGGTTTTCGAATATCGCGCAAATAAAAACAATAAAATATTCTAGTCAAATTACTGTAACAAAGAATCTAAAACACAATATTACACGTATATAGGTATGATTGTAGAGTTGTTGACCAGTTAGACGAAA